TAAACATCGAAAACAAATATTTATCAAATATTTGTTTGCTATAACTTCATACTGAAATTAATGTCCAAATAAATAAAAGTTACAAAGTTAATGCTTCAAGAGACCTGTGGAATATTATTGAAAAATTAGTAAAAATATAAATTTCTCAAAATAAAAGCAGTAAAAAAAGTTTGACTTACAGTTATTACTTACTTAAACTAATGATAAATAGGTGATTATAAATCATAAATGTTGAAATTAATATAGGTAACTTACGGATTTGTTGCAGAAAATATGAACATGGAAGAAAATGGTACCATAGGTCGTGGACCACCGAATGGACTTTCTTCTTCTTCATATTCTTCTGAAAAAATCTTCCTTAAAAGTTAATCCTTTCAAAGTGGTGGATATAGAATACAGTTTTTAAATAATTTTTTCATAATACAAAAATATAAGCGAAATTGTAAATTAGTTCAGAATTTCATTTCCTTTTCATTATAATTAGTAAGTTGTAAAACTTATTTTAATTTTTAAATAAGATAAATCAATTATTATTTAAAAATATATCAATAGGTCAAGACATATAGTTTTAACAGAGATTTTTCAAGAACTATGGAAAAATATGTAAGATCAAGAATTATTTTACTTAATTACTGCTTTGACTGAAGTAAATTATATTTTGTAATAAGTATTTTTACTGATAAAAATTGTAAAACTTATTTTAATTTTTAAATAAGATAAATCAATTATTATTTAAAAATATATCAATAGGTCAAGACATATAGTTTTAACAGAGATTTTTCAAGAACTATGGAAAAATATGTAAGATCAAGAATTATTTTACTTAATTACTGCTTTGACTGAAGTAAATTATATTTTGTAATAAGTATTTTTACTGATAAAAATTAATATTTCAATGCTAGTGAAGAGTTATAAAAACTGATACCATCTATTTCTTGTATTTCTGATATATTACCATCTGATTTCTCTTCAGCATCAATGCCACTTTGTTCATTATCCTGGAATTTCAATTACAAAAATTTACTGATAATTTTTGAAATTGTTACTATTTATAAAAAGTTAAAATTGTAATTTTTGATTACTTGTGTATGAAATACTGCGCATGATAACTTGTTTGAGGCTGCATTTTAAAAATCATAATTAAGCATTGTTCTGTGATATAGTTATAAATTTAAGAATTGTTATTTGAAACAAATGTAAAAAATTATTGATGTGATCAAATTTTAGAATACAATTCATTTTGTAAACAATTAATTTAGATTTTTCAAGTACTGTATGTTTTTCTCAATCACAAACAATTTCAACTCAATATAATATTTACAGTAATATTTAACAGAAGCATATATATGTTCATTTAAAATTTAAAAATCTTCTGATACTAGTATTAATTCGTCATAATATTTACAGTAATATTCAACAAAAGCATTTTTAATATTCAATAAAAGTATATACCTGTTCATCTAAAATTTCAGAATCCTCTGATAGTTCATTTGCTCGTTCATCAGCTTCTTCAGCTGCTGTCAGTTCTTGTGCATTGGCTAAGTTATCCACAGCAATTGCCAAGAAAACGTTTAGCAAAGTATCTTAATAGCTACAGTCACTAATTTTCTGCCAAAAATTTGTCATTTTTTGACAATATACAAGTTTTATTACTTTGTTTAAAATATGCTAAACTAAATATAACTTACAATTGCCAAAAAGTACGAGGACTATAAAATATATGCAATATACCATGCCACCACCATAAATGCCACCTTGTGACTCGATTGCAAGATACATTACTTCGTTCCAGTCCTCTCCCGTCAAAATCTGAGTTTTTGAATATCAAAACTTTTGTTAGCTAACTTTTGAAAGGTTTTTGTATTATTTTTTGAAGTTGAAAATGAAAGATTTTGTGTGATATAATAAAATGTCAAAAAGTTTTTAATACAAAACAGTATAACACAATTAATACACATCTACGTAACTTTTATACTTGCTTTTGATGATTTTTTAAAATTAACCTCGCGAGATATTACTTGTTGTTAGTTAAATTCAAATTAAGTTATTGATAATAATACTTGAAAAACAAAAATTATGCATAATTTGCATTTTAAGATAAAAAAATAGATTATTTCAACAAACTAAAACTGAAAAAATCGTCATAAAATTTTTTTAATTAATTATTCAATTAATTAATTTGAAAAATGTGTAATAATTTGTGATTTTTAATTTATTTTCGATTATTAATTACGCATAACCTTTAACTATCATAAAAATTTTCCATGCTTTTGTTTAATCAAGCAAAAGAACTTAAAATTGCCAACTCATGTATATGATTTATAATTATCAAACATTAATTATTTATTTTTTATTTTATGTCTTCCTATTTTATGTTCATTTCGAATTTTCAGTGAACTATCAGATTTATTAAATAAAGTAGATCAGACTTTCAATAATATCTTGCTTTAACTAGATCCACGCATGATTTGTTGCTTAAGAATAATTATCGAATCAGATATAAAAGTCTTTCTAATGTTTAGTATAGTGGCCTCGTGAATTTCATTTGCTCAAATATTATAAGATTAATTAATTAATTAATTAATTTTTTTAAAATTTACTTGGAAGACTGTAATTAAGGCCACCGGAAACGTATCAAAATGCGTGTATGGATGTCCGGAAGGAAAGCTAAATCTGAAATGAAAACTAAATCACTTCATAAAATTTTTGACATTTTTTTCAAAACATTGATCAGGTCATGACCTAGTTATAGTCTAACAAAGGAGTACTTAATTAAAGTTCACTGAATTCCAAGTTGAATATTAGTGAATATGAAAAAGTAAGCCTAAAATCCAGCGATAATCTTGCAAATCATTTGATAGTTTTCATTAGAAACAAATTAAAAATCTAAGTTTGATATTCTAAAGAAATGTTTTTGGCATTTGTATAAAAGTTTTTGAATTAAAATTTATTAGAAATATTGATTGAATCAAATTTTATCTGATTAATAATATGAATATGATTGTAAAGGTTTTTTTCACTTACTTCCCACCAAACAACTGCATACCCAGTAAGGCAAATATAAGTATAAACAAAAAAAGGAGGAAGAGCAGTGAGAGAATGGAACGCATTGAATTCATAAGTGAACGCACCAAATTACGTAATGATACCCAATACCTTAAATGATAAAAATTACGTCAAATTACGCAAAAATAACCTGCAAAAATTACGTATTTACGAATAATTAACAGAAATTATCTACAATGCGAAATGTGAAAACCAAAATAAATTTCTACCTAGTGGTATTTCATTTACTAAGAATCATTAATTTCAACTATATGTAATTGAAACCACGTAACTTTTCACGTATTAATAACTATTGTTCGATATATATGCTAAGTTCTTATTTGTTTTTTGTTTTTGTTTTTTTGTTTTTTGCACATTAAGTCTATAAAAATGTAATAATACTCACGAGGTCAGCTTAAAGATACGTAAAAGTCGTAAAGCCCGAAGTACAGAAATCCCAAAAGATCCACCTTTTAATTCGGCCCAAACAACTTCAAAAGCACTCCCAACAATAACAATACAATCGAAACGGTTAAATTTTGATGCAAAATAGGCACGATGACCCATTGCAAACAGTTTCATTAGCACTTCACAAATGAATATTCCCAAGAAGACATATTCCGCATATTCTGTATAATTAAATATTCAAAAATAATTGTGCTTAAAATTTTGTCAAACTTTTATCCTTGATACTGCAAACATTAATGCGCATTCTTCTATTAAAATATGATTAAATTAAGTCATATTTTGATGAGATTGATTGACAATTTTATAACTCAATTATAATTTTGTAAATTAATTAATAATTTTATTAAAAAAAATTTTTATTTCGAGGTACTTTTTTTCTCATAAAAATGCTCATAAATGCTAAATACTAAAGTTTTAGAAAGTTAATTAATACAGTGAATAAAAAGTTTTTAGTAGTAATAACATTTATATTCTATTTCAATAAATTTAAACATTTTTTAAGCGCATTTAAATTTTTGAATATTTTGGGATATTTAGATAATGTTTTTGTACTGAAAATTAATTCTGTAAATGTTATATTTTCAAATTATATTTGTATTATTCACTGGTATTTAAAAGTTAGGGCAGTTTTCTTTAATTTTTTATCTTTTTCAATTATTGACTTCTAATGAGAATAAAATTGCTTAAAAATTAACACAGTAAATTTCTTGCAGACTTACTGAGAAATTCTGTAAACCATTCGGGTTGACCGTAATGCTCCGAGGCAACGCAGGCAGTGTTAAAGAAGACTAAAGTTATCACTAACCAATAAAATATTTGACTTTTTACTATTATTCTCATTTGTAACCTAAAAGTGGACAGGTCAAATGTCAAGCAAAAATTAAATCAATCAATTATACAGCACTAAAATTAATTACTGATAATAAATCATTCGTTTTGTCATTTTACTTGTACTTAAAACTTAGAATTTTTTCATTTAATAAAATTCCATAGTAATATAAAAATTCATACAACAATGTTTCTATATTTTTAAATGCTCGAAATTTGCTTCTTCTACTTTAAATTGCATTCTGATCAAATGTGTATTTTTTGCTAATTCAATGTAGTAATAAATGCATAAAGGATGTATTTTAGAAAATATTATGAATTATTTTTATTGCATATGTTGTAAAAATATGCAAAAAAACGACAAAATACAGAAATTGAAGCAGATTTGGATTATTGTGAATTTTGAATAAATAAATTAACCTCATTCGTCGTATTTTTTTAGACATTGATTCCCATAAAGTCTTCTTAACTTGCTTTTCTCAAAAATAAGCATATTTATTATAAATATAATAAATAATGAACAATAATTATATCATCCATCACTTTTTTTGATCAAGAAAAGTGAGGTCAAGTATGAAAATAGTAAGTCATACCTTCGCATTCAGAGTTCACGTAATCTTCTTCGTCTTCTTCTTCTTCCATATCTTCTTCTATTTCTGTATTTTGTCGTTTATTTGCATGTTTTAATTTTTTAGCAGCTGCTCGTCGTCGTGCTATAAATTAGAATTATTGACAAATTTATGCAAATATTTGAATTTAAATTTCAAGTATTATCGATTTGGGATATCTTGGTTATTTTGATTAAAGTTAAATAATTTTTCTGCTACCAAAATTTGAGTTACTTGACTAAAAGTTTGTTTTGCTTATTTTTTCTTAGATTTTTTGTAATATATTTGAAATGGAAACAATCAAATTTTAAATTTTTGTACTAAGTTTGGTATAGAAGTTATCTGCATACTTTTAATATCGAAGTTAATACAAAATATAGCAAAAAGTTACATGTATTTTATATGATTTTAATCATTGAGCAAGTAGATATTTTATTTTTTTAGTTCTTTTTTTTAGTTCATAAATTTTTTACCGTACGTTTTATTTACGTACCTTCCATAATAGCAGCTTTTTCTTCTTCAGTTGTTCGTTCTTCCTTAAGAATTACTTCTTCAGCAGTTAAGATCCATTCTAAGTAACCGTTAAGTTCACGTTCAATTTGTTGTTGTCGGCGTAATTTCAGAAACTCTCGACGATTTTCAACTCTTTCACGTTCTTTTGCAAATTCACTGAAGTATACATTTTTATAGACCATTTTAATTTGTACTGGACGAGTAACGTAATTCAAAAATCAGCTCTTAAAAACTTTGAATATTGCTGATAATATCTAGAATCTAATACTTACTTGACAGCAAATTTTTTTATTTCAAACTTAAAAACATTTTCACTGTCAAAACATAATGTTAATTAGTGTGAAATTTTGCAGTTTTATTCTGTTTCACATAAATATTATTTATAAAATTTATACTTGTAATGCATCAAAACAATCAAGCTTGAGTGCTTCACCATATTATAAAATATATGCACATTTCGTGTAATATTTGTGTTTTTAACAAGCTGAATTTCGTGAATATTAAAAGTTGTCTAATATTTTATAATACTTTTTCATTACTAATTTTAAATAAAGATTATATCTTTGCGGTAAAGCTTATAAAAAGTGATTGAATATTCAAATTTACATATATATATATATATATAGAAATAAATGACATTTCTAATTTGATCTCATTAAATAATATTTATATTTAACGTTTGCGCATCACTTCTACAGTTTTTAAGTTAAAATATTAGCTTAAGTATACTTGAATTTAATTTCAATAAGTTAAAATTAAAGTTAGTTACCCAGAGAGGACACCGAGGACGAGATTGAGCATAAAAAATGAACCAAGAACAATAAGAGGTATGAAATAAGCCCAGTTGTATGTACTTCCAAGTGAATCATTCGTCTGAAACAATACTGTATATAATCGTTTTATTCATTTTTTAGAAAAGTTTTGCTTTTTTATTAGCGTGAAAGCTACTCTCATTAATATCAATACTAATATTAATAATAATAATATTATTAATGCAAAAATTTATCATATAAAAATGGTCAAATCCATGGTTGTAACATTTATGAAAAATGTTATTCGATACATTTTAATACTGCATAAATTATAAAAATAACAAAAATAAAACCAACATAATACATGACAGTAGTCCATCCTTCCATAGTAATACATTGGAATACAGTAATCATGGCAAATGCTATATTATCAAAGGAGGTGATACCATAATTGGGTCCTATCCATTGACTAAGGCATACTGTACCCTCAATCTCACAGTTATACGCACCCGTTGCTGCTGACTTATTTGAACTGTAAATTTTTTACTGTAATTTGTAAAATATTATGCAAACAATCAAAGAATCTAACTATTAATAATATTATCATATATTTTCACTTTCAAAACTTCGTTACTTTAAATGTTGTATATTTACTTTATTAGTATTTCTATTATTAAAAATTATGAAGTATTTTCGATTAATTACAAAAGTAAAATTCATAATAGTTTACTTTAGTTATTATGACCTGTGGCCTTATAAAAACATTTATAAATTAATTTTGACTGATTTAAACATTTTTAAAATTAGAATTATTAGGTCGGATGCTAAATACAGTATAGTACAAAAATAACCATGGAAATGGACGGTCACTTAGGTTCTCGATATCACCGTGTGCATTATAGCATGCGGAATGAAATATTCCCGAATAAAATTCCAATCCAATAATTGCAAATATAACAATGGCAAAAAGCACTAATAAACCAATTTGTAATAATGGTGCCATCGCACAAAGAATTGACTTCAGTACTACTTGTAAACCTGAACTAATGATGAACTTTGACATGTAAGCAAAAACTTTTAAATTTAATTACTGCAAAAAGTTTTTCAAATTTAATTTTCAAATAAACTCAAAACACTGTAAAATACTAGCAATGATGATTTCAGTATCATTTTTGAGATTTTATTTTCAGATTTTTCAGTTTTATCAATTCACAAAGTTAATGAAAAAACATTAGTCTGTTTTTATTTACTTTCTTCAAATAAAACATTTTATAGATTATTAATATTTGTAGCAGTTCAATAATGCTGTGAAATACTAGTCCTGAATTTATTATTTTATGGAAAAATTCTGATTTTTGTTATTCTGATTTTTTGTTTCAATTCTCTCTTAAGACAGTAAATAAAAAATGCAACTCTAGGAAATAAAATAAAAAATTCATGCGCACTTGGAATGCCAGAAACGAGTTTTAGTGGCCTGAGCACACGTACAGCACGTAAAGTTCTCAAATCCACTGACCCTCGACCTTCGCCATCTGACGAAGTGAAAGGCAACATTGTTACAACCCTAAATTCGCCAATTAACTATATTAAAAAATTTTTAAATGAAAAAAATTTGCGATTTTTTGAAATTCGCACATTTAAAGGAATAGTGAAATTTTGCGTAACACATCAAATTTTAAAAAATTTTGTTTTTACAATAAATATAAGTATTTTTGATCAGTTCCAAAAATAAAATTCATTTAATACAATTTTTTAAGTTATTATTATTTTAATTATTTTAATTAAAAATATGGTATTATTTATTTGTTCATACTTTTATTTAAAACTTTATTAAATATCAAGTACAAACGCAGAATACAAACCCTGAGACAACAACAATAAAATCCATAATATTCCATCCCGAACGGAGGTATGAACCTTTATGAAGAACAAATCCAAATGCTATCACTTTCAACAAAAATTCAAAACAAAATATGCCCATAAAATAGGGCTCTGTGCGCTCCTGAAAAAATACACACCGAAACCAATTTAAAAACAAACTTAAAAACAAAATCAAATTAGCACAGTAATTATTTTGCTATTAATAAATTCATCAAAACTGATAATTTTTAATTGATTTAGTCCAATTAATTTAATTACTTTATAAATTCATTCTACACAGCTAATCAGATAATCTTTAATTTATGCAAATTAATCTATTCAAAAGATAATTTGCATTATTGAAACAAAAACAAGCCAAAGCCTTTGAAAAAAATTTTCTGTCGATTTTTTTTTTGATTTTAATATTGCAAAAAGTAACTTGAAAATTCTTGACATTATTTATTAATGATAAAAGCTAAGTTTTAGTAATTTTACAATTTACTGAATATTTTTAACTACTAAATTCAAAATTTATCTGTTATTTAATTGCGTAATGTAAAGTCTAATTAGTCTAAGCGGAAGCTAAAAGTAGCCTCTAACTA